TTTTTGTAAATGCCTGGTCGAGGTCGGCTGTGCTTGTTAACATTTTTTTTACAAAGACACGCTGTTATATTTTGACAATATAATTAAATAATACGATTAAATTGAAAAAAACTATAGACAATCTAATCAAATACTTAGGATTAAAACCCTTTAGTGTATTTTAATGACACCGCCAAGTGACCCCGGTGTGTCAATTTTTTTATAATTTAGTAAAGAAACAAACAACATTTTTTAACATTGAAAAAACATCAACGTTTTTCATCTCATTTTATTTGTTCAAACGAATATGCGTGAAGTCATAGTAGAACTTTAAAACCATACTGTTAGAATTTATTTAGCAGCAACAAATAAAATTGGTCGCATTTCTTATATTTTCTTAGATGTTTATGTTAATATAATAATTCATGCCTACATTTTAGCTATTCGCCTTACGGTATTATATTATTATTGAACACATTTTTTTAAGTAGTGACGTTTAGCAGTACCGAGCTATCTGTTTTATGACGACCAAGTGTAAGAAAAGTATTCCATAAGTATTTCATTTAAATTTTACTTTAATGTACTCATAAAAATAAAGCGTTTTGGAGCCAAACTGTACACTATTTCACATGGTTTTCCTAAGCACTTTTAACCATCAGCATTCAGGGTTTTTCAACCATATAGCAACTGATTTTTTTTTTTTTTTACATTTGTGTTTGTACAGCACCATTGACGCAGGCGCAAGTCAAATAAGATTGTTTGCAGAAGCGTATAACAATGAACTAATGCCGTTGAACTTTTATTGTGTTAACGTTTAAGATATACCCTCAAATGGAAAAGATGCTTCTCAAGATTTCCTTAGTGTTGGCGATAACAGTTTGTTCTCGGACCGTCGCTTTGGGCAATTTTTTCAATTTTAAGAACGACGACACGGACTTGCATACCGCGTTGGAGAAAGCGTTCACTTGGCTGAGCTCGTTGGACCTCGGGTACGTAGCTAAGCGGCCTACGGCAGACTTCAATTACACCACGTCAACGGTGGACTTGGCAAAGGTGGTGAAAACCATCTTCGTGGATTTAACTTGCAGCTACGTGTTCAGTGCTCAGCTGCACATGCATCTTACCGAGGTGTTCGTAGCGAGTCCGAGCAGACTAGATGAACTGACGGAAGCCCAAGTCAACGATCTTGTATTCACCGAAGAAGCAGCGACCATGATGGCGGTGGTTTACGATTATGGCGACCGGGAAGATGACGAGATAACTAGTTTGATGCACATATTCCACATGTATACCGAACGGATGGCCGATGTTCTGGTCAAAGCACGCACACGAGACCGGTCCGGAAAGCAAAGCCACCAAGGTGCGATGATTGACATTCACAAAGCCGTCGAAGAGGTGCTCAGCGATTTCATCGCGATCAACAATTGTCAGACGTACTCCGTGCAAACCGGTAGAACCATATGTGTTCGGTCTGCGAAAAAGGTCAAGGAAACCTTGGCAAAGGGACCGTCGGCCGCAAGAGAGGCGTTGGTCAAAAATAAGACCCGGTTCTGGCGGCAAACCGATCACAACGCGGCCCAGAATTTGATCGCCGAAAACCCAGATCGCTTTGGCAGAGACCGTCTGCTCATCGACCGTCTGCTGGACAACAGACAGGCGATTAAAAGTCTGAAAACGGCGTTCGGCGTACAGCTAGACTGGGATTCCGTAGTGATGCACTTAGAGTCTTCTTACAATGTTGCCAAGATAGACAACAACATGTTGCACGAGAGCATCGATGCGCTCACAACGTTTCAACAGGAATTCGTGGATTTGTTGAAAGCGATTGCCATTCGGCTTGTTATCGAACACTTGCTGCACGTCAAAGACACGTGGACGACGATGCCATTCTATTCTAGGATCGTGTTTTTGATGTACCATTGCGGATATTGTAACAGGAAAATAGCGGATCATCTGACGGAGTTGGCCGTTCACTTGGATCTTATGGACGATCGACAATTGCGTCCTGCAATAGATTTGATGAGGAGATTTTCGGGTAGTTTCATTACGGTCACTCAAATCGACGGCCACGTTGACGACTTATTTAAGTCGTTGAAAAACATCCCGTCGGCTAAGAGTGGAGATTTCGAATTGGACGGGACATTGACGGTGGACGAGACTAGCAACAATCGATTGATAAAACCGGTAGACGAAGTCGTTGAAAAGTACAATTTGAAAGTGTCCTCCGAAGTTATTTTGTATTCAGTACGAAAAAGCGTATTCAGCGCTGAAGCGTTTGCAAAATTTGTCAAGGAAATCACAAAAAACGTTGATTTTAAGATGATCAAACTGTTTGGTATGATAAACGAGTCTATGGAGTATATGCGGTTAAAAGAATTGGAAACTGATCACTCAGATGACACCCAAAAAGTCGAAAGTGTACTAAATTAATAATTCCCACGTTTAAATTATAACCATTATTAATTTTTTTAACAATAAATGATATAGTGTTAATAACTATTTGTGATGGATTTATTTTAAACAGAGGTTTGGGTAAAATGACATACGCTATTTGTATAAGTAATCATTATACCTATATTTTGTTAAAGAAATTAATTACATAAGTAACTTCTAGTATGTAATACTTAAACGGTTTTTAATAATATCCACTCTTATGGTTATAAGTTTTTGTTTAAAAAATCTTAACTAATTATAATAATAAAACGAAGTATAAAAAAATAATATGTAAGTAACATTGACTTACCTACTCTTAATTTGAGTAATCATAATGTTTAGAGAAAACTTTTAATACTATTTTCGTTAACCCAACGTGTTGTTTTTTTTTTAGATAATTTTAATGCAAAAATAATACTCGCAAGTAGATAAAATAATAATATTTTTTATTAGCACATACATAATAATAATAGCTTTTTAAAATTATTACACAACAAAAGAACTAACATTTATGAAATAAATGTATTAAAATTTAAGTCTAAGATTTCATTGTACAACACACAGTATAAAGTAAAATTTGAATTTCTTAAAATAAAAACACAATTAGACACAATAATATTATAAAACATTGATACAGGAAACAGAAAATGAATATCGGTTAAACTAGGGATCTATTAATTTATTGTACTTTGATTTTTTTGGATGTCGTTTAAGTGGAAAGTTTCCAATTCTTTTAAACGCACATACTCGGTGGATTCGTTTATCTTAACGAACAGTTTGACCAGCTTAAAATCCACGTACTTGGTGATTTCTTCGACAAAATTTGCAAACGCTTCTGCGCTCAATACGGTTTCTCGTGCTGAATGGACAAAAACTTCTGTAAATCGATTGTTGCTGGTCTCGTCTGCCGTCATTGTGCCGTCGAATTCGATATCTTTACTCCTAGCCGACGGTATGTCTTTCAACGACTCAACTAAGTCGTTTACGTGGCCATCGATTTGAGTGACCGTTATGAAATTTCCAAAAAAACTCCTCATCAAATCGATGGCAGGACGCAATTGTCGATCGTCGATAAGATCCAAATGAACGGCCAACTCTGTCAGACAATCCGCTATTTTCCTGTTGCAATATCCGCAATCGTACACCAAAAAAACGATTTTCGAATAGACCGGCATCGACATCAACGTTTCTTTGACGTGCAGCAAGTGTTCGATAACAAGCCGAATGGCAATCGCTTTCATCAAATCTACAAATTCATGTTGAAACGTTGTGAGCGCATCGATGCTCTCGTGCAACATGTTGTTGTCTATCTTGGCAACATTGTAAGAAGACTCTAAGTGCATCACTACGGAATCCCAGTCTAGCTGTACGCCGAACGCCGTTTTCAGACTTTTAATTTCCTGTCTATTGTCCAGCAGACGGTCGATGAGCAGACGGTCTCTGACAAACCTATCTCGGTTTTCGGCGATCAAATTCTGGGCCGCGTTGTGATCGGTCTGCTGCCAGAACCTGGTCTTATTTTTGACCACCGCCTCTCTTGCGGCCGACGGTCCCTTTAACCAGGTTTCCTTGACCTTTTTAGCAGACCAAATGCTTAAACCGCTCAGAGTCTGACAATTGTTGATCGCGATGAAATCACCGAGCATCTCTTCGACGGCTTTGTGAATGTTAATCATCGTACCTTGGTAGCTTTGCTTGCTGTGTCTGTCTCGGCGTGCTTTGTGCAAAAACTTGGCCGCCCGTTCGGTATACATGTGGAATATTTGCATCAACCTTGTTCTGCTATCGTCCATGCGCTTCCCATAATCGTAAACCACCGCCAACATAGTCGCTGCTTCTTCGGTGAACACGAGATCGTTGACTTCGGCTTCTGTGAATTCATCAAGTCTGCTCGGACGCGCTACGAACGTCGTGGTCAGATGCATGTGCAGTTGAGCGCTTAACACATAGCTACAAGTTAAATCCTCGAAGAGTCTTGTTATTGCCTTTACCAAATCGACATTTGACTTCGTGTCCACGTCCGTCGTATCTCGTTTCACTGTGTACCCGAAATCCATTGAGCTCAGCCAAGTACACACTTTCCCCAATGCAGTATGCGACTCCGTGTCAAAACCTAAAAAATTGCTAAAAGCGGCTGCCCGAAAGCAAACGGTCATGGCCAGCGCAAAGGAAACCCCGAGAAGCATATCTTGAATATTTTGGAATATCTTGGGCTTATAGCTAAAACGTTAACGCAATGAAAGTTCGAACATTTACTAGTTTAGGAATATCGCTGACTCGTATTACCACAAAAACGACTATCTGTTTTCCGCATGTTTTTGTGAACAATTGTGACCTTATGTAAATAGTACTATTTAAACACATAGTCATAATAACGATCAAACACACGTGTCAATACTGCACAAACATTTTCCGAAGAAATCTATGTCAAAAGCAAATCGTTTGTGTTGTTAAAAATTATAGTTTTTAGTAGCAATAGAGTTGAAAAACCTGAAATGCTGATGGCTTGGAATACCGTGTTAAATTGTATAGCTTACCTTTGGAACACTTTATTTTATATAACGTTAAGTCTTTTATGCGTGCGATTAGCTTAAGTCGAATAGCTAAAATGTATATGGAAAACTTGAATTATTATTAATATAATAATCTAGGAAAACAAAAGGAATGCAAGATGCTGTATTTATTGCCGCTAAATAAATTCTAACAGTTTGGTTTCAAGGCGGTTTCTACTTGGACGTCACACATGTTCGATTGAACTAATATAAACAACATTTTAAACGTCGATGGTTTCTTCTTGCTGTAAGTATCTTACACAAAGTCGTGGTAATCTTAAGAGATACATGTTTCCATTGGTAGTGATTACAATATTATTTGCGCTTACTTTAAAATACAAATTCTGGTCTTATTTTGGTGTCATCGCCTAGTTTTTTTTTTTTTTTTTCAATAATCGTTGCTCGATAGCAAGTAAAATAATATCATGTCATGTTCCCACAGAAAGACGGCTTCTAAGCAACAAAAACAAATTTGATTCAAATCCGGTTGCACATTGTCGTTTACCAGAATGTATCTGTTCAACGTTTCCACATTTCCGTTGCTGTTAATCGCTTGCTTTCGGGTCACGGCCATTGGCGAAGAAGACTCGCCGGCCAAAGAAAACGACACGACCGCTTCGGGTGGATCTCGGTTGGTCTACTCTTACGATTGGGTGCAATCGTTGGACCGAGGGTACTTTTCCAAACCGATCAAGGTGGACCAACGGAAATCGCATTCCAGCGTGGCCGAGCTCGTGCGAAAATCCTACAAAGAGCTGACTTGTAGCTACGCGTTCAGCGTCCTCTTGCACATGTACCTGACAAGAGTATTCATCGTGAACCCGAGCCAACTGCTAAGACTGACCAAATTCGAAGTGGACGGTGTTCTGTTCAAAGACGAAGCGGCAGCCATACTGACCATCGTTCACAATCACTACGACGACGACGTTGGCAAAAAAGACATGATGGAGCTCATGTGGATGTTCCAGTTGTACGCCGAAAAGACGGCGGCGTTCGTTTGGTTGCACGTCATCAAAGGTAAGACTGTCGGCGGAGACTCGTTGCTAAGCACTTGCGAGATCTTGGTAGAATTTTTCGAGGTGTTTTTGGAGACCAACTCGTGCGTGGCATACGACCCCAAGACCCATCATCCGACCGACGTCAGACAATATTCCAATATAGAAATCGCCATGGCCCAAGGTGAGACCAGCTCGCGTCTGGCGGCGGTGGACAACAAGATTCGGTTCAAAGATCAAACGGCTCATAACTTGAAACTCGGGCTGAACCTCGAGGGGAGCAACCGATTTTTCGGGATCGGTACACTCGTGACTGAACTGCTGGGCAACGGGGTGATTTTGAACACCCTCAAAGTGGCGTTTGGCTCGCAGCTGAACTGGAATCTCATAGTGGGAGAAATAAAACTCAACTACCTGCTCGGTCAGGACGTCGAGGTCCACTTGCACGTGCGCATCAAAGCCCTGGTGGCGGTCCTGAAAGACTTCATCGACTTGCTGAAAGCTATCGTCATACGAACGGTCATCGGGTACATGTTGTACGTCAAAGACATAATTAACCAGCAGTCTTACCTGTCGATAGGCGTGTTCATGCTGCGAAATTGCAGTCATTACAACGCGAAAATGGCCGAACACTTGACAGAGTTTGCGCGGCGTTTCCATCTCACCGACGACCGGTACTTGCGTCCCGTGATCGAATCGATGACCAAACCGACGAGGAATTTTTACAGTAACAGTCATATCGACGGCTGTATAAACGACATGTTCGAGTCGCTGAGAAGAATGTCCTCTGGCGTTAAACAATTCGGCAAACCGATGGAAGTCAACGAAGACAGAAAAAGTCTAACCATAAACGAGGTTATTAAAATGGCCAAAGCCCACGGTTTAAATTATTCATCCGACGAAGACAACCGTTACGCTATACGAGAAAGCCTTTTGAGCGCCGAAGTGTTTGTCGGATTCGTGAAAACGATTACAAATAAAACAGATTTCAAGGTGATCAAATCTTTCGTTCAGCTAGAAGCGTCTGAGAGCTATAAACGTTTAAAAGAGTTAGAAAATATCGAGTTGAACGACCTGGATCAGCTGGTTAATCTGAAGTTTTAATCTACTTATTTACAACATGAACGAGTGAGCGGCATTTATGTTGTCCAAAAGCTATCAGGGCCACGTAGTTAGTTATTCGTAATTAGATTAGGTTAAGTCAGTTTTAATTTATACAAATTCTACCATGTATTTTCACATGATTAATCTTACACATTCCTTCTTGTAGCTGTTGTATATATAGACCATAAGCCATACCCGAGTTACTTCATTTGGCCAAATTATAAATAGTTTACACCTTTTTCGTTATTCCGCTTTTTTTTTTATTGTAGTTTTAACGTTTAAATTATGCAAATTCAAGATATATCCAGCGTGGGACTAAAAGTTGACCAATTATTTTAAAAATCTGTAGTCGAGATATGGTTAATTATGATTAAACGAGAACAGTAGAATAGTATATATCAGATTACCAGTATAAAATCCAAAAGTTTTAAAAAAATATGATTTAGCTCGAATCAATACCGTGTAACGCGTGTGACGGAACAGTTTGACATAATTTTTGTATGTTTAAAAAGCCGAGCAAACAGACCCCTTTTGTGCACATTGTAAAATATAATACAAACGACTTTCTGTAAATATTAAGCACTAAAAACTAAACACGTAGCGGTTATAGACTAGCTGTTGTTGCTTTCGAAAGTACTTCTTAAGTAAAAAATCGCATACCTTTGTTGTCGATTACCGTTTGTAAAAAATTCGGTGCCGTTACGGGAATTGATGATTATTTGATGGAAGACAACGACGCCGTGAAAAAAAGGACCGACACGTTGGTTTGGTTGCAGAGCTTCGACCGGGGATATGTTGCCAAGCCGAAGATCAACGTGGACACCATAAGATCTATGTCGCTGGACGATCTGGATCGCCATGTGCAAGAAGCCTACGTCAAACTGCAATGTAGTTACGTGTATTTCGCTTTACTATACTTGCACATCATCGATGTGTACATCTTTAATCCAAAGAATCTGCTGGACCCCGACGAGAAAGAATTGAACAGCATACTATTCGCAGAGGAATCGGCGACCATGTTGGCCTGGTGCACGTCATCCCAGACGACCAGCGGAATACTGTTAGGTCCGTGATGTGGTTGTTCCACGTGTTCGCCGAGAAGACAGCGCACTTCCTGGAGTCAGACCACGGGTGCTATCAAGACGTGAATACCGCCAACAAGTCGGTGATATGGCCGTACAAAGTCATCAAGGGTGTTCTCGAAGAGTCTACCGGTACCATGCGGTGCCAAGGGTACGACCAGACGACCGGTGAACCGGACAACTTTGACTACGTGTACCGGATCAGAAACCTATTGATCAGTAACAGGAGAAGTGCGAGGTCGGAGATGACCAGCAACAGAACAAGATTCTGGATCCAGACCCGGAGGAACATGCAAGTGGGTTTCGTGCCAAGCGGTGGCCATCACTTCGACGTTGACAATCTGCTCGTGAGCATCGCGCCGGAGAGGTTAGAAGAGTTGACGATTACTCTGAGAAACAAGTTCGGAGTCCAACTCGAATGGCAGTCCGTGACGGCCATGTTGGAGTATTACTACAGTCGAGCCAAGACCGCAATCGTAAGGGCGTCCATGCAAGGATACATCCGGGCAGTTAGAACGTTCCAGTGGCAATTCATAAGCGTGCTGAAAGCCATAGCCATGAGAATCGTCATCGTGCATCTGTTACAAGTCAAGCACTCCATGACGGCCATGTCAGGCGACGTTCTGCCCCCATACATACCGGTCTATATGAAACAACACAAACGAGTAGCAGACGGCTTACAGGCGTTCGTAGATTGTGTCTATCTCTTCAATGATCAACACTTGGAGACGGCAATCGATTGGATGAACAATCTCTCGGTGCATTTCGAAAATTACCGGCAAACCGTCATGCTCGTAAAAGATAATATACTGAAATATTTAAAGGTTATGTCGCCACCGCCGGACGATGGCTTTGGCGTACAATTCGACGTGCCCCATAACGGACGGCTTAGACATCTACAATCTGCAATCTCATATGCATCTGTTAGCCATATCAAATCACAAAGAAAAAATTGCGGTCATGGAATTCTACGTCGAGTTTGTAAGAACAATCGCCGATTTCGAAGTAATCCATTGGTTTGGGCAGCTATTAACGACCGGCCAGTTTAGACGATTCGAAGAGTTGGAAAAATCCGAAGGAACGGAAATGGTCACATTGTGGTAGCCGACATTTTTTTATTTTTAAAATATATTTATTTTATGTGTATACAACAGTTAAATATGCTTATGAAATTGTTATAATATATATTATTTAGTTCTATATTAATGGATTTGGTACATTTGTGTTAGATTAATAGGTTAGGCAAGACGGCACAAGTAGTATGGTGGACTGAAAGAGCAACGACAATTAATCAAAGCGGTATGACCAGATGGAATACCAGTGGAAGTATGAAACTTTATAGGGGATCTAAACATAAGCTGATTGAAAGTACTTTTAAAGGGTAAAATGGCAGACCAGTGAAGGAACAGTTTAGAGTTGAAGTGCCTATATTTAAAGGCAAATCAGGTATACAAGAACTGTATAAAATTGTACAGGAATTAAATTGATGAATCATACTATTGTATCCTTGTAAAATGTACCGTCCAATAGTTGGTGATTGTTGTGTTTGAATAGGTTTTTATGGTTTATTTGTTAAAACAAAAAATACAGTGTTTCATTAAACGTGCGAAAAACAAATTGACGTCATTGTTGACAATATTATGAAACGGTTATATTTTATTTGAAAAACAACCTACACAAAACTAGTGAACTAATACAGGGCGCAAAAAAAATGTCTTGCTCCTGGACGCTTTAGTCTCTAGTTACACCATTGGTATACATTTTAATTTACTTGATTGTACTTAATGTATTGTGAATTTTGAACACTAGCAAGTCATTGCTACACCTTTAGTATATCAAAGAGCAGTTTGTTTTCCAATTTATTTTTACATGGACAATTTTGAGATATTGTGTTCTACTATATTATGACACTGTGCAGTTGTTTTTGTTTTGTGTGTTTGAATAACTGAGCAAACGATACTGCGGTTTATCCACTCGTAGACCAATACACGATAGAAGTACTCCCGTTGAATTTAGGCACGACTGCCAAATTATTAATAAAACTATAAGATTAGGTTAGGCTGTCGTACGACATTGTGCAACATACACAACCAGTTGAATACTGATTTCTTATGCGAAATGTCGCTTTTCGCTGTGTATTGTAGTGTTTTACTTTTGATTGCCGTTAGCATAGGGTTTATGGCCGTGTCGGGTGACGACGACACCACCGCAAAGAATGACAGAATCAACACCGTGGTCGGGTTGCAAAGCCTGGACTGGGGTGATTTCACTAGTAAACCGCAAATAGATACAAAAGCGTTGAGGTCTATGCAGTTGTGCGCTCTGGACGATCTAGTGGAGAAAGCCTACGCCGGACTGCAATGCAGCTACTTGTACTTCGCCATGTCGCATATGCATATCGTTGAAACTTACATGTCCGACCCAATGAATCTGACCAAACTTTTTGACGAAGAAACGGCCAGCATTGTATGCACCGACGAGTCCGCGGCCATATTGGCTCTGGTGCACGGTCAAGACGGCCAAGACGTCCGGTGGAAAGACATCCGGTCGGTAATGTGGATATTCCACGCGTTCGCCGAGAGGACTGCCAGCTATTTGCGGTCGTTTCGGATCAAGTCCCACGTGTTCAACGAGCGGTCCGTAGTGTACGCTTACAACTCGGTCAGGGTTCTGCTGGCAGAATTTTCCTCGGCCAGCGGATGCAAAGCGTACGACCCGGTGAACGGCACACTCGAAGACTACGCGGACAGGTTGAGAAGCATTGTGATCGGCGGCAGAAGAAGCGCCAGACAAGAGGCGCTGGACAACAAGAAAAGATTCTGGAAACAAACCGACCGCAACGCTGCGTCGGGCTGGGTGCCACGGGATACCGGCCGTTTTACATTGGACCGTTTACTCGTGGACAATCTGCTGTACAACGCCGGGGCAATGGACGATCTGCTTGCGTTCGGACTCGAACAGCTCAATTGGCAACCTATAGTGACGTGGGTGAGAAGTTTGCACGACCGGGCCGTTAACGGCACAATCTACCTGACCGAACACGTCCGAGCGCTCGGACGATTCCAACGCGAGTGCGTCCGTATGCTGGCAAGTGTAGCCATACAAGTGGTGGTCAAAGAAATGTTGCACCTGGAGTTGACAATGTCGGAGATGTGGATAGCGACGTGGACCGTGTACGCCTATAACGATTGCAACGGTGTCGGCAAAGAAATAGCCAATCAGTTGGCCCTGTTCGCCGAACACCTGCTGCTACTGGTCGACGATCCGGTGTTTAGCCGGGTAATAGGTTCCACCGACAGGCGGGCGTTGTGTCTGTCTTGCGTGATCCACAACCGCGTGTATAACTTGCTGATGTACCTACACGAGATGTACCCGCTCGTTGACTTGGGCGTGGATTTTCGCAAGCCAACGGAACGCATTACAAGAGAATACATTACACAGTCGACAAACGCTATTTTGGAAATAGCCAGGCGAAACCAATTAAAATGTGATATAACCGGAAATAACGACAGCCCCGTGCTCGTACAAGTGTTCGTGGAGTACATAATAAAAATCACCGGTGCCGTCGATTTCGACATACTCTACTCGTTTGGGCAACTACCGGCTTCTAGTGTTTTCGGAAGATTTGCAGAAATAGAAAAAGAAGAAATAAACAAACAGCTGCTACGTTTGGGCGCTTCGCTTAGTCCAATGTTCGACCGAGGAGCTGATTTTCTTTAATGCAATGTATACCCAACGAGAATTAAAAATAATAAAATCATTTTATCACTTAATAATGGTTTAATTAACTCTGTCATCAACTTATACCATTCGAAATTGAGAACTTCTTATCTTACTTCCTAATACACTATTCCCTAGGCTGATGCGCACTTAGGTGACGTTTTTTAGATTTTACAGAATTGAATACATTAGCACTGA